TTTAAATCTTTTATTATATATTGACAAATTCAGTTGGTATATTTGTAAGGTACAAAGTGATGTTATACTGTTTGAATACAATATGAAATGATTAAGTCAGGCTAATTTGTAGCTTATTTTCATAAATTGCTTCCCAGGTTTAACTTCGTAATCTAATACTACTCTAAGAAAGTAATATTTAATATTTTATATATTTCAGTGAATTTTGAGTAGCAGGGATTTTTTTTCTAATATATCCAGAAGATCAATTTAGGGATTATAAAGGCATCTAAGATAAAGTTCTCTGTTATTTTAAAAATCAGTCACTGATTTAAAAGCTTTAGTTTTATTTTCTTTTGTTTTCTTTGTAGTCATCATTTCATAGATTTGTTGTATAGATAGATAAGAAGTGGGACAATGAAAAGAAACAAATACATGAGCAATGAAAATTCCAACTAAAATACAAGAGAATGCAGAAAAGCATGCTAAAAATGTACAAACTTACATTGGCAGCTCAAGCTAATGCTGTGTGTTTCCAGTATCTTCTGTGGGGATTACTTTAAGAATATCATGCTACCCAGTGTTCAACTTAATGGCCTAATTTCTTCAGAATGAGACTCAGTATAATGACTTTGCGTATTAATGGAATATGCAAAAGAGAAGTTGTAGGTGGTGGCAAGAGCACTAGCTTTGTAGTTAACCTTGTCTTGTTTTGAGTGCTGCTACTTATCAATTGGTTAGATCATTTAACTTCCCTGAGCCTGAGTTTCCTCAAGTGGTAAGGGGAATTATTTCACAGAATAGTTGTGACTGAGGTTTAAAAGAGACTGTTTTTGTCAACCAGCTGGAACAGCAATTTTCAAACTTTTTGGGCTTATGATATCTTTATATTCTTAATAGAGGGTTGATGGGGGAGTGGCTCAAGTAGTAGAGCACCTGTCTAGCAAGTGTGAGCCCTGATTTCAAAACCCAGTACTGCCAAAAAAGAGAATTTATGACTGCAAACAGCTTTTGTTTCTATAGATTATATCTGCTAGTACTATACTGATCATTGAAGCTGGAAAAATTTATAAATATATATTTGGATAGAGAAAAATCAACCTATGTTGCTAATATAAATAACACTTTAATAAAACTGCTTCTAAAATAAGTTAGTGAAATGAATGGCATTGATTTATACTTTGGGTCTTCTTTAATGCTTAGCTTAGTAGAAGAGTGCTGCCTGCATTCTTATACCTATTTTTGTCTTCAAACTTGTGATAATGTATGAAGAAAGTCCAGCCTCACACACATATGCAGCTGGACAATGGAGGGGTATTTTATAGCCTTTCCTAGAAATTGCTGATACTTTTCTCTGACACGGAACCATTAATTGGTAGTTCCTTCAGGGTTAATTGCAATGTGAAATCTGAAACCATAGTAGGAAACTTTTTGTACTCCATTTCATTAAAACACATCGCTCTACCTTACACTTTGAATGCGTGTTTTACCCACACATGATTTTGTAACATCCCTGTATAGTCATTTATGAAAAAGTTTAGCTAAGTATGCAAATCTTCCATGTCAATAAATTTTATTATATAGTACCTTTTTAAAAACCACATTTGTTAATATTGCCACAGAATCACCAGGTCTTCTAAGTATTGGAAACTTGCGAAACTCATGGTGTTGGGTACAAGCTTTCTGAAATTCTTACTTTAATCCAATAGCTTGAATTTTATCATTGGTAATAAATATTTCCAGTTACTTTCCTTAAAGTGACATGTTCACTTCTTTCATCTTCAAGAAAATGTCTACCAGTCCCCAAGTCTGAATACCCAGTATGTCATCTCATTTGGTTAAAATTGGTGTTCCATACACAATCAGCTAAATTCAGCTCACAGTTCAAAAAAATTTTTAATTATCATCATACTTAGATATGCACGAATAACCATGAAGTGTTTTATGCATACTTCCCATTTTTACATACCAAATAGTACTTCCCATTTTCTCATACCAAATAATAAAAAGATGTATGCTAAGTATGCTAAGTAAATATAATAAAATAAATTTTTATTGCTTTATCAAATATTCTTAACTGAAACTGGCATCTCTCTTTTTTTTCCTCCCACTCCCATTTCCTTCCCCACCCCCAGCCCACCCCCCACCCAGCAGTACTGAGGTTTGAACTCAGAGGCCTTGCACTTACTAGCTCTCTACCATTTGAGCCATGCCTCCAGAGTCTTTTGCTTCTTAGGTTGTTTTTCAGATTGGGTCTTGCTTTTTGCCTGGGGCCAGCCTCCATCCTGTGCCTCCTTTGTAGCTGGGATTATAGGGGTGCACCATTGTGCCCAGCTGGCTTTTTTGTTTTTTAAACCACAAGTCTATGGCATTAAAAATCCTTATACAGTTTGGTCACAGCTTTGATTTATGCTGTCAGTTTTATCAGCCATTATTTTTGCTCTGTTGGTGTAAATGTCAACACATGACCTGATAGAACCCCTGAAAATGTCTTGAGGAACTCAGGGATTCCTGGCTATGCTTTCAGAACTGCTAACCTAGAATGATAAAGCACTTGGTACATAACATATTGGACAGTCTGTAAAATATAACTATTATAGAAAACCATATAGTTTCTATAGTTTTTTGTAGTTTTATAACTGTTTTTATAGAAAACTATACAGTTTTCTAGTTTTTATTTCTAAGACAACTGGTTGCTATGTTTGTCACAAAGTAATTTACTAAACTCCAAAGTTTAGTATTTTGTGTTTTGTTGATACCTTGGTGCTTGTGCTTTTCCTATCAGTGTACTGTAGCTTCATGGACCTTATGCTTAGCAAAATAAAAGGCTCTCTTCAGACCTTCAGGTTCATATATATAAAGTATTTGCTGTCCCATAAGGGGCTATCTAAACTTGGGATGGTTGGGCTGGAGGCATGGCTAAAGACTCAGAGCACCTGCCTTATAAGCGTGAAACCCTGAGTTCAAATCCCAGTACTGCCCCCCAAAATTAGAATGGTCTTAGGTAAACTCTTGTAAAAATTCTACATCTATACTCTATAAAATAGTTTTTAGTTTTCATAGTTTTATTTGTTGGGTTGAGCCGAGTTCACTTGTAATCACAATATTAATTTCATTAAAGTATCTTAAATTGGAGAGGACCAGACACCAATGGCTCAGGCCTATAATCCTAGCTACTCAGAAGGCAGAGATCAGGAGGATCACAGTTCGAAGACAGGCCATAGTTTGTGAGTCCCTATCTCCAAAAAAAAAAAAAAGAAAAAAAAACTCATCACAAAGGACTGGTGGAGTGATTCAAGGTGTGGACTCTTGAGTTTAAACCCCAGAACTACAAAAAAAAAAAAAAAAAAAAGGCAATAGTCATTTTTATTAGAATTATTTTAAAGTGATATTATTTAGAGAAATACCAATTACTGTGAACATTAGTATTGTTAAAGATAGTCCAGGAACTATCCCAGAATCATTGTATAGAATCTTATGAATGCCAGATTGGCCTTTTGTCCCTAATCCTAGCAAACTGTAGTTGGGAGAGAGAGAGACAGATAGAGCGCAAGAGAGAATAAATGAATGAATATGATTAGCTTAAAATATGGAATTTATAATAGGCTTTACAATAACAAGAGTCAGATATAAATTAAGATAATTTTTTTAAAGGCTTTATTAAATTTAACTTTTTAAATTAAAATCTGGTGCCTATTGTCAGAACTAGAGATAAGTAATAATTAAAGGACACAATATGGCATCATGGTTGAGAGCATGACTTGAGCTAGAGATGTACCTCTGATAGAGTTATTGTCTAGCATGCACAAGGCCCCGGTTCTGTCCCTGGGGCCACAAAAACAAGAGCAAGGAAGTCCTACATTTGCTAGCTATATAATCTTGGGTAAATTATTAACCTTTTAAAACCTGTTTTCTCAGCTGTAAAATAGATGATGATGATAATTTCTTCATAATGTTGTAAATATTAAGTGAAAGAATATAAACTTTTCACAACTTTGGTAGTCAATTAATTGCTAATTAATAGTGATATATCTTCTATGTTGTCATCATACCGACACACACACACCTATTTTTTAACTAAGTTAATGTTCCATTGATGTTCCTGTTGTAAGAAAAATGATCTTTTCTATCAAAGTATTTTTTTCCCTCTTAGATTACTTAAAAATTCCTCAGGTCGCCATCTTAGGTGACTTGCATGGTTAAACGGCCCTTGCTTCTTCCGGATTCCTGTACAACTCCATTGCCTGCCAAACTGCATGCCCTAACCCATCCCCCAAGCCTTTTAGCCAGTCGGGAAAGATTGTGAACCTTTGACCTGGACAAATCCCAGGTGAGGGGCAGGTACAATTGCGTCAGGGAAATAAGGAGGAGCCACTGTCAGCCATTTTGGGCTTGCATGTTTGCTCAGCTGGAGTGAGCACATGCTTGCACCCTCTTGATCAAGAGAAATTGTCTTGTCAAGATTTTCTGTCTCTAGTGTGTCTGGTTTTGGCACTGGAGGGTTATCAATTCTAACAGTATTATTTCTGTGAGGTAGGTAGAATGGATTATTAGCCTATTACTGTGTCAGTGAGGGAACAGATCATTAATGGTTAAGAGGCTTGCTTAAAATTATCAGCCCGTAAGTAATGAATCCAAGTTTAAGTCAAGCCATTTTCTTCAAATGCAGGATTTTTCTGTCATAATATTTTCTCAGTAAAGATCACATCTTATACAATGGGAAGTACATAGACAATTCCATCTGATCCAGAAGGAATAGGACTAGTCTGGAATTGCTGACATCCTCAAGTGATGAGAAACTGAAGAATAATTAATATTGCTTGAAGAGTTGGGTTTAAAAAAAAAAAGGATATTGTTTCCAGTTAAGTCTTGAAGAATTCATTTTTTTTTGTTTTTTAATTGGAAAAGAATTACCTATTTATAAAAAATTTTATGTGCCTATAAATATAAATGGAATAAATTCTACAAGGTCATTTAAATAATTTTGTTTTCCTCCTCTTCCCTACTACCCTCAATCCTAGGTTTTAGAAAAGAACTTAAGGACTTGGAAGCAGGCTGTAAATCTTTTGAGCTCCACCCGGAATCACATCTACAAACAAAAAATCATTTGATAAAAAGGTAACCATAAATATTTTTAAAATATGAAAATCTTTGTTCCTAAATGCATGTATTATAGGAACTCTGTCAGAAGGGTATAAATATATGTTACTACTCTGAAAGCAATGGGCCTACAGTATTATGATGCCTGCCTTATTGTGAATCATTAATAGAATGTGGACCAAAGAGTAGAGGGTCTACAAAGTACCAGTATTGTACATGATTATTTTAATATTCACAACATTCTTATGAGGTAGGAAGTAGTCTTCACTATGTCCAGGGAAGGGGAGAATATGTTCCAAGAACCGTGGTGGATGCCAGAAACCATAGACCGTACCAAGTGCTATATGTATTATGTTTTTTCCTACAACTACCTACACAAATTGAATGCCTTTTCCCTCTCAACTAAGCACTTACTATACCCTGTGTCTGTAACTTTTGCAGTTTGATATGTGATACCAAAACTAGCAGGAATTTCTATTTCCTTCACAACTTCACAGGTAGAAGATTCTTTCTTTAACAACCCCAGCCTACTCTCTCCCCACCCCCAATTTCCTTAAACTGTGACCTTTCACCAGTTCACTTAAAGGAAGCACTCTTTGCTGCTTCTTTTGGCTTACCTGGGTTACCAGCATCACTGTGCTTGAGTTTTAGGGCTGTTAATAAGTAAAACAGGATTATGTGAAAACAAGCACAGATACCATAATAGTCTGATAACCAGGAGACAATGGGTAAGTATCAGAAACAGTGTAGTAGGCTGCACAAAGGGATGATTCATATCCTGAGTAGGGTAGTGTGAGATTTCACCATGTTATTCAGAGCGGTGTATAATTTAGGACTTACAAATTATCTATTTCAGGAATTTTCCATTTAATATTTTTAGACTCAGTTGGTCATGAGTAAAACAATGGATAATTTGGGTGGGGAAATAATATATTTGCAAAAGACAAAATTTGAGGTTTAGATTAAGAAATATATGCCAAAGAATGGAGCTGAGTTACATCGCTGTAATCCCAGCTATTCAGGAAGTAGAGATTGAGAAGACTGTGGTTCAAGGCCAACCCAGAGGGGAAAAAAGTTAGCAAGACCCCATCTGAACCAATAAGCTGGCCATGGTGGATAAAACCTATGGTCCATTTACATTGGAGGCATAAGTAGGAGGGTTGTAGTCAGAGTCTGGAAAATGTAGGACTTTATCAGAAAAATAAAGCCAAAAAGACAGGGGACATAACTCAAGTGGTAGAGCACCTGCCAACCAAGCTTAGGGTCCTGTGCTTAAACCCCAGTATTACCAAAAAAAAACAGTGGAACTGAGTTTTGATTATAGCGATATCTACTTAGCCAAATCATTCTGCTCTACTTCAATTCCATGTAATTCATAGGATAAAAATAGTTTAGTCATAATTATTTAAAATTGGCATACTATACTTACAGCATTGTATTTCAGAATTTAAATATTTAAAACTTTGTAATGGTGGTGGGAAAATGTTTTAGGGGATTGAGTTGTTTGCTTATAATATTTTCCTTAAGTTCTGTGCATTTTTTAATCACAAGATAATATAATTTCAGTGTTTTTAATTTGAAAGGAGTTTTTAAAATTACAGAGGGGCAGTGAGCACCTGTGACTTATGCCTGTGATCCTAGCTATTTGGTAGGCAGAGATCAGGAGGATTGCAGTTCAAAGCCAGCCCAGGAAAAGTTTGGGAGACCCTATCTCAAAAATACCCAACACAAAAAAGGGCTGGCAAAGTGGCTCAAGTGGTGGAGCACCTGCCTAGCAAGTATGAGGCCCTGAATTCAAACTCTAGTACTACCAAAAAAAAATTGGGGGAGGTGGGGTTAAGGGTATAGCTCAGTGATACAACATGTGTTTAGCATGCAGGAGGCCATGGGTTTGATTCCCTACACCACACATATACACAAAATCATGAGGAAATACAATTTTGATAATGATGGATTTTTCTGGTATACATTTATGTATTCTGGCATACAGGTTTGGGTTCAGATAGAATTGAAGATGTTAATTGTTATAAAATATTTACCATTTCTGTTTATGTTGCAAAAATGATAAAAACCACATACTGGGAAAATCAGACAACCGGACAAATATTTATTTTCCCCTAGTTTTGCATATTTGCATATGGCATTTTACCTTTGCTTTTATTTTCATATTTCAGGCCACATATCTGTGAAACCAGCAAGAAGTTATCTCCTTCATCCAGTCCACAAATACTCAGTGATCATACTAAGAGAGAGCACATTCACCACTCAGATGAGCAGAAATTTGAAAAAACAAATGGATGTAAATTTTCTGAGTGGCTTAATATAGAAAATTCTGAGAGAACCAGTTTGCCTTTTCAAGTTGAGGACAGTTCTGCACCTGGGAAGACAGTAAACAGTAATGATATTGTCTCATCACCATTGTGTTCTTCACATGAGAGAACAATTGCATTAAAGCCAGAAACTGCTCCCCTCGTCTTACAGCAAAATAGAATGGAACAATGTTACTCTGAGAACTCTCTATCCAGGGAACATACAAGTCATTCAACCTACAGATCTGATGATTGTCAGATGCCAAAACTTCTTTGCCAGAATCCACCACCTCCTTTGCCACCAAAGAAATGTGCTGTAACCAGTGTGCCACAGTCAGAGAAAAATGCATCTCTACCTGATGTCAAACTTACAGAGGTGTTTAAAGCAAATTCCTCCAGTTTTCCAAAGCACAGTTTAAGTACAGCTTCAGAAACAAGTTTAGAAGTGAGTACATATAATAATGATGAAAGATATAAAGAAACAATTCAAGTGAAACAGCATATTGGCAACACATCAAACTATCCATCCAACTCTTCAACTAATGATTTTCAGGCAAACACAGGAGCAACTGTTGATGCATTTTGCCAGCCTGAACTAGACTCTAGCTCTATGTGCCCAAATGAGACAATTTCATTAACTACCTATTTTTCAGTCGATAACTGTATGACTGATACATACAGATTGAAATACCATCAGAGACCCAAGCTCTGCTTTCCAGAGAACAGTAGCTTTTGTAATGATAATTCACTATCTCAATGCGAAGGAGGGGAAAGACTTGTGTTATGTAATAGTCTTGGTTCAAGCTGCCCTTCTGAACATAGACACAAATCAAGCATACACTGTAATAGATAAATGATGAAGTCAGCAAACTTATCCTTCTCAGAGGCCATTAAAATACACCAAGTGACCAAACTGATACATAAAATTAAAACCATGGCATTTTAAGTCATTAGTCAATTTGACTGTATATATGTGTGTGTTATTTTACTTTACAGTGATCAATTTATTGGATATTTTAGAAATTCTCTTTGAATAGTCTTGGCATGCCTTGAAAAATAGGAAATCAGGGAGTATACAATAATTCTCTTGCTATATGTAACAGTTTAGTAAAAATGAAAAAATTCCCCCTACTATGTGGCTAATACACCCGTAAGTATTAATCATCACCAATATGCAGGTTGGTAAACTGTGATCATTGAAAAATGCCAGGTGATACAGTTTGTCTCATCAAAGCAGTATTTCCTTTTTGCAGGGCACTTTCTAATGGGTAAACCATGAGGGCTACACCCATTTGTTTTTTACTTCTGTGATAGTCTGTCACATATGAATCCTTCAATGTCTTTTAAAAAAAAAAAGAATCATGAGTTGGGTAGCATGTGGGAAAAAATGCCTTAATGATTAACAGTTTTTACATAAAATTTAAAGACCAGATAGAACTTGTTTTGCTCCCAGAACTTTTATCTTTAGAATATCTAGTGAACATAAATTAGGCTTTGACTATTCCTAAATAGTACTTCAGCCATGTAAGCTAAAAGGTCAAATTACTAAACTTTGGTGTATTTATTTATCTTGTTACCTTGTATTTCTAATTTTATATGAAATGTGAAAGGTTTTTTATTTTGGCTTGGTTTATTTGGGCTGCTAATAATCAGTGTTAGGAATTAATCTTGGATTCTTTTATGGGACTTGTCTCCATAAATGCCTATATTTTTTCTGCTCTAATCTTCCTTAGAGCAAGTCAATTTATTTAACTATCTAGGTTTGAGTTTAATTTTAATGAAATGTTTAATTAATTGGGGCTCCTTACCCATTTTCTGTCTCTTTAACAAATAGTCATTTTATCTGGAGAGGGCTTTGTTTAAAACTGAAAGGAATTTTCATTATGGTGACCTTATCAGTGAAAACAAGTTAATTGCCTTATTTCATTAGTTGTAATTTTATTTTGGAATAGACTGATAAAATAATTGTGATTTAGAATAGTTTTATAATGTCTACTCCAGGGAATTGAGAATTATAGAAGTAAAGTTTTCTTTACATTCCTAAATAAACTTCATAAATATAACTTAACAATTCAGTAAACTAACATTTATTATCTTAACCAATTCCATAAACTGTTAAAAGTACAGTAAGATTGCCTATAAAATTCTAACCTCCCCCAATTATCAAATCTTGGCCAGATTTTATCTTCTACCTGTAGAGAACTTTTTGTTAACCTTTTCTAAGTATAGTAGATTATTATTTTACATTCTCTTAATTTAGAAGTACTTGAATATCAACTAAATTAAGTTGTATGTTTTAGGAGAGTTTATTTTTAATTTTTAGTATGGAGCGTTTTTGTAAATAATATAAAGTTTGTAAAATTGTATTTGAAACGTCAGTGTTTTTTAATTATTGCTTTTATAATGTAAAACACTAGAAAAATGGGTTTCTAGTATTTTTAATAGCTTTCAAAAACTTTCTGTGTAGGTTTTTGTTTTAATTTCAATTTGGCCAATATGTCTAGTTGGAAATGCATTATTTGAAACATTTAAACTAATTTCTATATATTACAGCAACTGCATAAATTTATCTTTTTAACTCAGTTGTTTGCAAATATTAAATAGAAATATCCAACTTTGCCTTTTAATGCACTGTCCAGTTAGCCTCCTGAATCATGTAACACTAAACTAGAAACAACTGTTTTTATGTTGCCTCAACACTCCAGAGATTCAGTACCTGTTTGCTAAACTAATCATTTATATGTAAAAAGTTTTACTTCTAGTGTGCCTATTTTATTTTCATCTGTTACAAGCTTATAATTTTTTAAGTAATGCAACCAGCATTGCTGTTTCATCTTCAGAATATTATATTTTTACTTGAAATCAATTTCTTCTGGTTCAAAACAGTTTTTAAGATAAACTGAATTTTAAGTGGTCCCCTTTCCCCCCTCCCCCGGATTATGTATTTTATGGAAAATGTACTTAAGGTTTAGGATACTTGGAATTTCACTGATCATAAAATGTCACAGATGTTCTAACAGTTAAATCTCAGCAAAGTCTAAGGCACATCTCCTAGAGAAATTGGCAAACTGTCCACAGACAGATAGTAAATGATTTGGGCTTTGTGGGCCATACAGTTTTTAGAACTACTCAGCCTTGCTTTTGTAGGGTAAAAGCAGCCAATAAATGGTATATAAATCAGTGGGCATGAGTGCTTTCCAGTATTACTATGTCAAGATTGAAATTTTGATGGCATTTAGTTTTCATATGTTGCAAGTCTTCTAATTTTTAATCATTTCAAAATGTAAAGCACATTGTTAGTTCAAAGTCCTTCCATATATATATGAACAGGTAGTGAGCCACACTGGCCCACTGGCCCACTGGCCCTGGTCTTTGTCCTAGAGCGTAATTTGTTAAATACCTTCATCAACATAAATATCCTGGACTCTTAATTTCTCCTGTGTTTAGAAACTAGGTATTTGAAACTCTTTATACCTCTTTCAAGTTACACCCTAAAAACTGTTCCCTACAACTGCTCATAAGTCAACTCATTTCAAGTCATACTATTAAAAGTTATTTATGTGAAATGAAGTGTGTGAAACTTACAAAGGAACTTACCACACTAAAATGAATTTGATTACTCTTGATGTTTTTGTTTTTATTGTAGCAAATTTGGAACTTTTCTTGCCATCCCATTTAGACTCTTACAAAAGCCTTCAATGTGTGGGCACTGCAAACCATTCATGAAAGATGACACTTCAGTGGTACAATTCCCTTATCTGTACAACACTGCGACCCTCACACTGCTACTATTTATGTGCCATTTTCAATCACTAGTACTGTGTTAATGTACTAGGATTCTCCAGAGAAACAGAACCCAAATAATACACAGAAAAAAAATTTAGTATGAGGGATTGGCTCATATGATTATTGAAGCACAGAAGGTCCATGGTTTGCCCACTGCAAGCAAGAGGCCCAGGAAAACTGGTAGTGTAGTTCTAGTCTAACCTGAAAGTCTAAGAACCAGAGGCCTGGTCTAAGTCTGAAGGTCCAAGAACCAAAAGAGAACCAGGGCAAAAGATGGATGTCCTAGCTCAAAGAGAGAATTCACTGTTCCTCTGCCTTTTTATTTCAACCAAGCCTTAAAAGAACTGGATGATGCTCACCCACCTTGGGGAGGGTAACTCTTCTTTATGCTTTTAGAATCTGCTAATCTCTTCCAGAAACATTCTCATAAACATACCCAGGAATAATGTTTTACAAGCTACCTTGAGTCCCTTAGCTCAACCTGAGTCAAAAAAATTGCCCATCACACTAAGATCTCACCATCTTCACTATATTAGACATTTTCAGAATATCTGATCATTTTGGCAATAAGCAGATTTTAGGCTCAGATAGGAGTGGGATTAGATGTCTTTGTATGTAACCTAACAGTAAGCTGTGTTAGAACTGTTAATCTCTTTACAACCTGACCAACAGATTCACAGAATAAAACCAGACAGCTGTATAAACATTTATTAGAGAAAATTATTAGTAAGCAGTGCAAAAACAAGTCATACAATCTGTTTGGTAAACATGGTGGAATCCCAGTTCTCAGTTGCTCTAGATGCTTTACTCACACCTACAAAAAGTTCTCTTTTGGCAGTTGCAACAATACTATGAAAACAATTAATTTTATAGTCATTAGGCCAATTAAAGCCACCCAAAACAGGGTGGGGTGCCTGCCTATAATACTAACTACTCAGGAGGCAGAACAAAAGGGTCAAGGTTTCAGTTCAGCCCAGGTGAAGTTATCTAAAAACCCTATCTCAAACACTAGCAAGCCAGGTGTGGTGATAGAATGCCTATGGTCCCAGCTACTTGAGGGGCAGGGGTTGTTAGGTAGGAGAATCAAGGTCTGGTTTGTGGCTCAAGTGATAAGAGCAAGCTTGAACCCTGAGTCCATACCCTAAAGAAAAAAAAAAATCCTCCAACATAAGACTAGTGATGTAGAGTTTAACAATCTTATACCTTGATCATAAGGGAGGAGAACAACCCTCAAATACTTTAGACAGTTACATATATTAAAATTAGAAAAAAACTAATTCCCAATATCCACTATTAAAACCTTTAGGGCCAATAGGAACAGCTTCCAAAGTGCTTACAGCAGCTGCTTTGGGAGTATGGTCTTTCTGATTAAATGCCTGCTGATCAACTCTGGAATGTGAATTCTCATTGAACAATATAAATGGATTTCAAAAAGAAAATAGCAACTGAGAAAGTAAATTTCACAAAGGCAAGGATTTCTGTTTTCACTGCTGTGTTTAAAATAATGCCTGGCTAGTAGTGAGAGGTTCAATATTTATTGAATGAGTAAATCCCACACTGACTGCTAAAATATTTAAGTTACAGGCATTAAGTCTCAGTCTAAAGATTAAAGATATTTAGAGCCAATACATTGTGGGCTCTATTTTTTGTGTAGCTTTGGGATATTTATAGCCTCTATGAAACCTGTGAACACTGTGCCTTCTCTCAAAATCAATCCCTTGCTTTTGAGTAATTTACTTTTGAATTTATAAATGTCACCTCATTATGCACATTATTTGCAATAAACTAAACCCTGATCAACCCTTAAGATATTAAAGACATTACTACATTTTTAAATATACTAAATCTTTAAGTACAGATATTTTAATATTTAGTCCCTGTAAAGCCATTAGAAATTTGAAACAAATTTTTAACCATAAACCAGTATGTCTAGTTTTAAGAGCTTAGGTATGAAAGAGGGTAATCAGTACTCATTTAATAGTTTTCCAAATGAGTTCACAGAAGGTGTATTATGAAGAGGAAGATCATAGAGGTTTGAAATTCTGCTGCCGCACAATCCTATCTTCTTTATTCAAGAAGTTAGTGGTAGTTTTCAGAATTCGCTCCAGACTTGTAGAGATGGATTCTTGAGATACTGGCAAACCAGTCTGTAAAAACAAAATATTTATCAACATTTCCTTCACCTGCCCATTTTAACACTTTATGGCAAACTGAAAATCTTGATTGTCTTAGTGAGTTGCCTATCCCTAAATAACTTGTATATTGATAAGAAAGGGGGGAGGCCTAGAGCATTTTTTTCATGTTTTGGATTTTCTACCCAGAACTGAAAATCAGGATATAATCTCTATAGAGAAAGATACACACACACACACACACACACACACACACACACACATACATACATATATATATATATGTATGTATATATGTATATATAAAACCTGTCTCTACCAAAAATGGGGTAGAGGAGGATTTTATAGAAATACCCATCCCCTTTCACCATCACCCTCTGACTTCTGATTTACCCAAGAATCAGAGACAACAAAGTCTTAGATACTCAAATCTTTGCCAGAATGTAGGGATAGGGTTGGGGGGAAAAAGCCAAGAACTGTCCATCAAAAACTGAAAATTTCATGGGCCACAGGTAAGTGGTAGAGCACTTGAGTTCAAACACCAGTAATGTAGCAGGAAGGCAGGGAGCGGGAAGGGAGATGAGTGCCAACGGTGAAACAAAAAAACCGGACTTGAGAAATGTCATCTGGGGTGAGACCAGAGAAAGGTAACCTCGCCCCAGAGGCCAGAGGTTAAAATGGCCAATGAAATAGCATGTGACCATGTATGGGACAAGCCGTACCCCACATTTCTGTAACCTTCTCTATAAGCCCCCTTTGTTCTCCGGGCTCAGCCTTTGGATGGAATCCACTGAGTCGCTGTTGGCCTGCTCAATAAACTTACTTCCCGGAAGCTTTGATGACCCGTCTCTCTGAGCCGTCCTACAACAGTACCTCAAATTTTTTTTTTTACAGTGCAAATTTTAGAAGTAAAAGCTCATAAGCATGATGATTGAAAAGGATTAACTTACAGTGAGTGAACCAACCCCACAGTTCATTGTCTATAAGAGCTGCAGTGGTTTCCTTCCACAGGCCTCTTCCTCTCACTGATGCTCACTTGCTTTCTAAGGAACCTGCCTCTCATCATCTCAGACTTGCATCCCGCTTCTTGTGCAGTTCCCTTCGACCCCATTCTCTAAATCCCTTTATTTTATTCCTGCCAAAATTGTCTTTTCAGAGTTGCAATGAAAATTGAGGGCATGGATTTTAAAAGTGGATTCTACAGAATTCTGTGACTTATCAGGTGGTGTTGTGGAATGTGTAGGTGTGGGTAAAGGGGGAAGTAACTTGGTAAAGTTGAAAATTATTACTAAAATGAAAACACTGAGAGGTAAGTACAATTGCGTCAAGTTCAGGTTTCGCATGTTGAGTTTGAGATGGATGTATGCCCTGCTCTTGGTCAAGCAGTTGAGCAACACCAGCTTTGGTTGTGCACTTACTACTACACAACATACCAATTGCTTTAAATAAAATCACCATCTCATTAATCTCTGCTACAACCCTATTAAAATCTGGTGGTGTTTTTTTTTTTTTTTTTAATCTCAATGGAAGATAAGAGAAGGTTCCAAAAAAGTTCTTCGTGGTGGTGCAGGAACCCAACCTGTTTCATTGCAAAACTTAAGAAAACTCTGAAGCCAAGTTCCCTCCACAGGTCTCCGGAGTCTACTCCCACTGAGGAGACAAGGAAGGACATTTTCACTCTAGTTCTCAGTCACTCTCCAGCTGTGCGACCTGGGACAGACACGAACTCCCTGGAATCGCTGCCTCTCTCTGCACCCCGAAAAGGTCCAAGCACACAGTTCCCAAACCTCTTACCACTCCAACTCGGCATTCAGTATACTCACCAGGGCAAAAGATAGACGAAAATAAATAACACCAGGTCGAAGAGGATGAAGAGCCACAGATCCAACCAGTAGGAATGCTTTGGCACCCCGTTCCGGCAGGGCTGAACTCCCTCATGGTTCTGCTCCTGCCTCCCAGGCGCGGACAGGCTTCGCCGCTCCCGGGCACCGTCCGGACCGTCGGCAGCCGCTGCGCTCCCCTCCATGCCACCCTCGCCGCACCGCGACCTCAGCACCTGCCAGCACCTGAGCACCCGCACTTCCGCGATGGCAGCCCGGGAAACTGGGCAGAGTTACGGCGCTGACGTAAGCGCCAGGACTCTGGGCGGCCCCGCCCAGCGCGCAGGCGCCGCAGCCTTTTTGTCTGCGTGACCGCCGGCAGGCACCGCAGCCTCTGCCGGAAGCGGGGAAGCAGCCTCATCCACTTCCGCCCTGCCGCGCTGGGCGTAGAGCTGGTTATTCGAGTTTGGTACTGTTTTCTGTCTGCTGACGCACTGCGCCCGTGAACCGCCTGGGATCACTATTTCCTATCATTTTACTGTGTTGGGGTTCTTAAGTCTTGGGGTGGATATCGTAATTACCACCGTGTGTTTTTAAGAGGACCCGAGGGCAAAGCGTGAGAATTTTGCACGTACCTCCTGGGAGTGAATTTTAAGAATAATCCAAAGGCTCGGTTTTGTTCTTGAGCCCCAGCAAAATTGGAATGCTAGCGAAAGAAAATGACCCATACTGCCAGGTTTTTACCTGGTGGCTTCAATTTCAAATAGTCTCTCCCTTTGCCATATTATGAATTATCAGAAAATAAAAGCATCTTGAAACTGGAGTTTTAAGCCACAAACCCAACTCCAATATGGTTGATGATTACTGAGGGGTTCCAGAGAAGCTGTTCCCACTGTCATCCCTTAGACAATCTGAATAAGCAAGTCATTGTCGCTTGGCAGGTGCCTCGTCCTGCCCAGCCTTCACTGCACCTATCGTCCATTCCTCCTTGTAATCAGTCCTGTTCTTCCTAGATCCCAAGATGATTGCAAGGTGACTATAAGGAGAACAATTCAGAGTAGAGTAAGGAACACGGATACAAAAAATGAAGACAGATACCAAGCTTTTCCCATTTTCAATTTGTAGGCCCAGGTAAGGAGTCCTTGGCTTTTAGCAAAAGCTGTGCATATAAGTGGTTCTGTTACTGCATAGTGAATAGAGATATGAGTTTGTGATTGTGTTTTCATATAAACTGTCATTAAATCTCCATAAAACCATATTAAACCTGGGATTACTCCCATTTTACAAAATGAGACAAAAGGAATAAAGTATTTAAGGTTACTAAAAAATTATCATAAAAATGGAACCCAAATTCAAGCTTCTTAATGCTATTTTACAGCCTCCAGGTTATAGAGGCAAAGATAGTATCACCTGTAACAAAAAATACTAGAATCCTTTGCCTTGTCGATTCTAAAATTGAGGGCCATTACTCAATTAACTGGACTGTGAGCTATACACCAGATTGTCTGTATTAATAGATTAGAAAGACCCCTAGGCTTAAATACTGTTGAATCTGCAAAAATTAGGAAAAAGCAAGTAAACTATTGTTTATATCAAAGCTGGAAGCATTATTTTCAATGGCAAGGTAAGATCAGTTATTTCTAATTATTAAAATAGGATTGATTTAAAAATTACTGAAATTATTAGTGGAAAAGTAGCCTGCCATAAATTGAAATGTTTTCATACATGTGCTTATCAAAGAGTCACATGGATGAGGAAATCATTATTGAGTCAGAAAAGTTTTTCAGATTTGGGAGGGTAATTAATACAAATAGGAAGAGGTCATTTAGACTAAATTCAATGGAAAGATCCTACACTTCTTTAGACTTCAACCTTATAAAAATCCTATTGATTCTTGATTACTTGACAGAAATGAATGTAGTTTGTTGAGGAATGAGCTATGCCCCAAAATTAAAAGCATTTTAATTTAAAAGAAAGTACTGCACTGAAGTCCAGGTATACTGTCACACAGGACCTCTGCATTTTCCCAACCCCCTGGAACCTTTCTACCATATATCCAAGTAAAAAGTATGCACCAGGGACTACAGATGGAATTATTAGACATTACCACTGTCATCCAACACGTTCTTAATACAACACAATTAAGCATCTCTTTCTCATCTGTATTGCATCTTTTCCCCCTTTTCAAATTGGGTACTGTCCCAACAGTAAACCCTATTGATTGGTATAGTTATTTCTCCATGATCGGGGTCATTTTATCCATTTCTTCTCATTCTTCCATCATTATTGCTTTGAACACCTCTGACAGTTTCCTTTGAGAGTATTCTAACATCATACATAAATTGCAGTTTCTCTCCAGCTTGACCTTGATCCACTCTACACTCATCCATCTATACACTCACTTCTTATCTGGCTCCACCCTACTCAGTCAATCCGGTGCCCAGAAAACACCCTCTATTCTGGCCAGATTGCTTTCTTCCATCTTCCTCATGAAAGCTATTCTTCTCTTGACCTCTGAGCTTTCTAGTACCAGAAAGCTTCATAGTTTCCTTCACTGCATTTCACATGGATGTCTCCATCCTTAGTATTTCAGACATACCAGTTTCAAACTTCACATTTAATTGATCTTCGTGTGCTTCATATGTTGGGTGCTTTCTTCTTGGGGTTATTATCTGAAGATCAGCATGGTGAAGTAATTTTTACATAGTTTTGTGCCTTTATTTAGCACCTATAATTTTTCTCAGCATTCTATAACAACCACCTATTGATGGGATTATATATTAGATTGGTCATCTTTCAAAATTTCTTTACCTCCAACTCAAAAAAAAAAAAAAAAAAACACCTGAAATTTTCTTGGCATGTTGCTCTGGCACATTGGCTAGCCTTATATCAATTTTCAATGTTGACTTTTTGAGACAAGGTCTCACTATGTAGCCCAGTCTGATCTTAAACTTGCTATGTAGCCAGGCTGGCCTTACTCTTGATCTTCCTGCCTCAGCTTCTGGAGTGCTGGAATTAGTATGCCACAACAGCCGGCTTATATCAACTTTATGTCAGTTGTCTTCCCTGTTAGAGTATTAAGTATTCTTTAGTAAGGGGAGATTGTAGTTTTAGTATCTTTGCAGCTTTTACAATTCCTCAAATAGTGCCTTAAAAATGGAAGGCATTCAAATTTATTTGATTATATTTTGTTGTATCCTGTTACCACTAACACAATCCTAGTTTGACTTACCCATTTTAAAACATTACAGTATAACAATATCATGAGTATCTAACATGGTTTATCTACCACTATGAGTAGGGAAATTTTCTGAGTTTTTTCCAAGTACTAATGATATATGCTAATCCATCTCTTCTTTATGGTTTTCCCTATTTTAATTTCAGTTAATACTTTTTGAATACTTAAAATGTGACAGGCATTGCTAGAGGAGCCATAAGAGATATAGGTATACTAGCTGTCCACCTCATTAGAAGTACTGACTGAGCTCATCTATCTGGAGAACAATGAAGTTTTCAAACTCTATATGAGATTCTGCATAATGAGTAGGGCATTTGGAAGTGTGAGAAGAACAGGCTGTGAACAAACTATCCACCCCCTTCCCTCAATCTACTTGTACGTACATAGACTTCAACTATAAGAACTCAGTTTGCTTATATTATAAGGCTCCATTTAAGATTTTATGTCAAAATAAGGAAGGCATCCTGCTACTTTTTACAGTTTAAATACAACTTCAGCTGTGCAAGGCTTACCTGGTAAGCACAGATGAGAAAGATATTGGAATTCATTATCTTGAAATATCATCCTGATAATCAATTGAACAACCTATTACTTGATTTATTGAGGGTATTGGAGGTGCAGTCATTGAAGACAGAGATTGAAAGATAATTCAACACATAACATGTCATATCTCATAAAATTATATAATAGACTTTCAAGAATAAACAAAACAACATTGACCTAGAAAAGAAAAAGGATATCAAGATGATAATTCCTATATAAAAATATTGGCCAGAATTAGACTTATTTCTTAAGTATGAATGTCAACAATTAACTGTAGTTAACCAATTCTGTGAGAATAGGGTCACATGGAATTTTATGCTTTCTGATTATCCATATTTAAAAATATTTTCTCAGTGAAAATTTAATTAAAAGTTGTAGAGAAAGTTTTTTTTAAAATAAGTTAGAAAATAAACAAGAGATAATCTAAGCCAAAATTATTAAGTATTTCTGACATCAGATCACAGACACTAGGTGCATAATAAATATCAAAGGATTTTAATGATTTATAACAGTATTTTTCAAACCAAATTTCAAGTTCTAGGATTCCTCAAGGGCAAACATGGAATGGAATAGTAGTCTAGGCAATGTGTCTTCAAACCTCTAATGGAGAAGCTCAACTTTTCTGTAATATCTGTAAATATTTCCCATTGAAAAACAAACTTACTTTTTCTCTGCTTTAGTGAAGCTATATGAAAAGTGACCTTGGGTGACCCGTATTAAAAATTGTAGAATAGCATCTGCATTCCTGTTCCTCCATAGAAACATTGAACATTGGAAAACAAGCAAAAACTGTGTTTAATAACTTTGTCAGAACTCTGGAAAAGTCAAAGTTTACAGTAGCTCAGCAAATGCTGAAGCAAAATATATGAAGCAACAGAACCAGTACTGGGGTTTGAACTCAGGCCTCACACTTTTTTTTAAATTTTTATTTTATTCATATGTGCATACAAAGTTTGAGTCATTTCTCCCCGCCTTCCCCCACTCCCTCCCTTACTCCCCACCCCCCTCTTTCTACCCTCCTACCCCCTCGCTACCCTGCAGAAACTATTTTGCCCTTATCTCTAATTTTGTTGAAGAGAGAGTATAAGCAATAATAGGAAGGAACAAGGGTTATTGCTAGTTGAGATAAGCTATACAGGGAGTTGACTCACATTGATTTCCTGTCCATGTGTGTTACCTTCTGAGTTAATTCTTCTTGAACTAACCTTTTCTCTAGTTCCTGGTCCCCTTCTCCTATTGGCCTCAGTTGCTTTAAGGTATCTTCTTTAGATTCTCTGCATTGAGGGCAACAAAGGCTATCTAGTTTTTTAAATGTCTTACCTACACTCATACCTCCCTTGTGTGCTCTCGCTTTATCATGTGATCAAAGTCCAATCCCCTTGTTGTGTTTTCCCTTGATCAAATGTCCACATATGAGGGAGAGCATACGATTTTTGGTCTTTTGGGCCAGGCTAACCTCACTCAGAATGATGTTCTCCAATTCCATCCATTTACCAGCAAATGATAACATT